CCCCCCCCACACACACACACACACGCACGCACGCACGCGCACGCACGCATGCGAACGCACGCGCACGCACGCACGCACTCACGCACATGTGCGCACATGGGCGTCCACAATTGCATGCGCACAAACACGCAGCGTTGTCGTGACTCATGATGTGATGCAGCTTTGCCGTCACAACAACTGCGAGCTGGAGCCCAGGCACAGCACGAGGAAGTGCGCTGCTGTCCGGCCTCAAACCTAAATCATGGATTGCAGGTGACAACCAGGCATCGTGCAAGCAGCGAGGCGCTGCGGCACGCCTTGGACAAAGCACAGGGTTGTTCAAAGCCTACGGTCCAAGAAAGTCCGGCCGCCATGCAAGGGCTAAGCTCATCTTGGGCAGTTGGTAGCTTGCGTGCGGAGGCCAGGAGGCAGGAGGCTGGGCGATGTGAGGCGCTGGTGGTCACGGCTTGCTGCTGGCGTGCCAGGGCTGCTGCTCCATGCGGGTGTTGGCTGCACGGTCACCGGCATAGGCTTACTTGGATGCGGCTGCCCACCAACAAATCTGCCAAGCGAAGCTGGCCAAGCGCAAAAGTGGTTTTGCGGGAGTTGTAAGGGCTGCGGCCCACACGCAGTCGAGGGCGTATGGGGCGGGGTGCGGTGGGTGGAGCCAGCAGCTGGGAGCCATCTCTTACCAGTGGACCGACAGAAGCAGGGGCAGCCGTATGCCGGTGTTACTGTTCAGGCACGCTCGGCGCAAGAAAAACCACAAGAACAGCCCCTGGGCCGTCGCCGTATAGCCTACTGTGATGCAGTTGATGGTGCGTCCCGCACCACATGCTGTGTGCGGGTTGCAGTGCGTAGGTTTGTGATTGGCATGACCGCTCCTACAAGCAGCACGCGCACACAAGAGGGGTAGATGTATCCAAGACACACACGCAAGACAGGTGGTATGTTGAAGGGCGTGACGGGGGGTTGTGAAGGGCGGCACTGTGCCACGCGCCGCTGCATCTCCGCCTGCCGGCTGCGGCTCCCCTGCGCATGGCAGGTGTGCGCAACGCGTTGTTAAAGCATAAGCGCAGACATACCCGCTTCACAACGAAAGTCGCTGCATGCGGCGCCCCCCTGCGCCCTGCTCCAGGGAAGATGCACAAAGGCGGACGCAAACTGCGCCGCGCGAACAAGAGAGAGGGGTTTGGGGCCGCCGGCTCCCTTTGGGATGCCGGGGAGCAGCTGTTTGCCCTGTGCCCGCCGGGCGCTCAAGGGATAAGTCAGCTGCTTGCTCACTGCCACAGTGGGGGAAGGGGAGCAGCAAAACGCCATCCGTGCCAAATCGCTATCTGTGGCCTGTGGAATACGTTCTCCGCGGCAGACGGCCGCGCCAGCCTACGGGGAAGCTGCCTACGAAGAGGAGGCCGCCCCCTGGGGCCGACTTGGCCGGCGCACAGTGATAACGGCAGCAGCACGCGCGCGCAAGCAAGCCGTTGCTGCGGCCTGCTTATAAGGAAAAGGGAAACGCAATAGACCCAAAGCCTTTCGTCCGCAGCTGCACATAGACCAGGGGCCGCCGCCAGCTGAGTCAGCCGCTCTCCGGCGGCGCCGGCTGCGAGGCAGCTGCATCGAACGTCACATGCCGCCCGCAGACGCCTCGTAGCGCACGAGGCTGCTCCCCGTGCGGCGCAAACACGCACTACGCAGCACTCACGCAGCCTGTGGCTTGGG